CAGCTCCTGTTCCCTCAACTGTGACTCCAGCGTCCACCTCCACGCCTTGCTTTTGGGCGCCCGGGCTCCCCAAGGCCCGGGGCCAACACTGCTCCCTCACGAGCCGTCTTTCTCCTCAGACCCTCATCTCTGAGACCATCCGCCGTTTTGGCCGCTTGGATTGTGTGGTCAACAACGCCGGCTACCGTGAGTTGTGAGGCCTGAGGGCCCTTCCCACTGAGGTCCACACGCCTCCTGGCTTCCCCCGCCTTCCTCCCTTGCCTCAGTTTCCCTGTCTCTGCCCCCTCCCCCTCTGTCCCCTTAGACAGGACAGGACCGCTATGGAATCCTCCGTGCCTGGGCTTAAATCCCGGCTCTGTCCCTTCCCTGCTGTGTGCCCCCAGACCTGTGCCCTCACCTCACTGTGCCTCAGTTTCTGCATCTTTAAAATGGGAATGATGATGATCATCATATAGGGTTGTTGTGGATACCGAATAAGGGAAACTACTCAGCATTGTCAACACAAATAATCAATAATCAATCTATAAATCAAGATTGGGGTGAGTTGATTACATGAGCTAATCTGAGGACCACATAGCCTGGGAGGACACCTTCCCCAAGGAAGGAAGCCCTCCGAAGCATCGGGGTGTACAGTGTAGTTATATACTGACTTGGAACAAGGAACAGACGCCACGTATGACAGGAATATCTCTTTTACTACAGTCACGAGATGTTTTGCTAGCATGGCAGGTCCCGGTGACCTTAGTTTCTGGAAGGAAATACTTATCTTTAAAGAAATGCTGATGTGGGAGGAGGCCTACATCCCTATCTTTAAAGGCAGCGGTCTTTGCTTGGGACGTTGTAAACGTTTAAAGCAGATGCACAATGCATGTTCGACAGGGCACACCAGACCATTCTGGAAAAACAAAGTCAGGCCGAATTAGTTTTAAACCAAATGGCTTCCTCATATCCCTCAATATATATGTACTTTCCGTGTTGCTTTTCATTTATTCATCAGCTGCATAATTATCGTACAATCTCGGGCAAACAGCTTCCATCTTGTAGCCTCACTTTGCTTATCTGTGAAGCGAGGCCATGGCCCTTCTCTTTGCCGATGGCTGTGAAGATGTCCTCACGGTGCATGGTTTATAGGGCTTGGTGTGGTGGCTCCCAGGGGAAATTGCCATCAGCTTGATGACGGCCCTTCATAAGAATGTCTCATGGTGGTGAACTGAGGCTCAGAGAGGTGAACTGATTGCGTGGCGGTCACACAGCAAGGCCGTGGTAGAAAGAAGCCTGCTTTGTTGGCTGGGCAACTTTGAGCAAGTGGCTCACCCTCTCTGGGCTGCATGTTTTAAAAAATTATTTTATTGGGGTGGCCCCGTGGCTTAGCGGTTATGTGCGCGCACTCTGCTACTGGCGGCCCCAGTTCGGATCCCGGGCGCGCACAGACGCACCGCTTCTCCGGCCATGCTGAGGCTGCGTCCCACATACATACAACTATCTACTGGGGCTTTGGGGGAAAAATAAATAAAATAAAATTTAAAAATAAAAAAGACCAAGTTTTTAAAAAAAAATTATTTTATTGAGGTCATATTGGTTTATAACATTGTGTAAATTTCAGGTGTACATTATTTTATTTTTGTGTGCGTGTGAGGAAGATCAGCCCTGAGCTAACATCCATGCCAATCCTCCTCTTTTTGCTGAGGAAGACTGGCCCTGGGCTAATATCTGTGCCCATCTTCCTCCACTTTCTATGGAATGCCGCCACAGCATGGCTTGACAAGTGGTGCGTCGGTGTGCGCCTGGGATCGGAACCTGGGCCACCAGCAGCGGAGTGCGCACCTAGCCACTACGCCACGGGCCAGGCCCCTCAGGTGTACATTATTATATATCAGTTTCTGTATAGACTGCGTCGTGCTCACCACCAATAGTCCTGGGCTGCATTTTCCTCCTTATATTGTTGTGAGGATTAAAGAGACGGCACATACTAGTTCATCCTTTCTCTCTGTGTCCTTTATACATTCGACAAATTTATTGAGCACATTCTGTGTCCCAAGTTCTGTCTTAAGGACTGGGGATTTAGCAATGGACAAAATAGACAAAACATTCCAGCCCCCGTGGGCTTCACATTCTAGAGCAAGGAAATAGACATGAGAAGACAGGTATAGTTAATCGCATTATTCCAGTTTTCTGTATTTGGGAATTCACCTAAAAATTTGTTCGTAATCATAGAATCAGTACTCGCAATAGCGAGCTTTCTCGCTATTCGCGGATGTGAGCAGACCAGCAAAACTGAAGTTGCCTGTGGTGGCGTGTGTTCCCAGCTGAGGTCGGAGGAGGTGACGCTCTGGCCTCTTGTTTCAGCTCTCAAGCAGAGAGGTGCCCAGAGGACAGAGCCGGGAGGTGAGGGGGCGGTGCAGTGCAGGGAGCTCGCGCCCTGGGGCTAGCTGGAGGAGTTTGAATCCCAGCTCTGGCGCCTGTGAGCGGGAGTGGCCTCAGGCAAGTCACTGACGACTTCTGAACCTTATTTACAAAATAGAGTCTACCAGTATGAGCTGTTTGTAGGGTTTAAGATCATAATCTTAACATATACGTGTTGACTTAGTCTGTTCTTTCTGCTGGAACAGAAACACCACAGACTGGGGGCTTCAACAACAAACGTGTATTTCTCACAGTTCTGGAGGCTGAAGTCCAAGATCAAGGCGCCGGCTGATGCGGTGTCTGGTGAGGACCCACTTCTCGTGGTGTCCTCACATGGTGGAAAGGGCGAGAATGCTCTTGGGGTCTCTCTTCTAAGGGCACTAATCCCATTCAGGAGGCTCCTGCCTCAGGACCTAGTCACCTCCCACAGACCCCACCTCCTAATACCTTCACACTGGGGGTTAGGATTTCAACATATGAATTTTGGGGGGACACACGTTCAGTCCATAACGTGTGTGTATTATTGTGTAGTATCATATAATAGTATATGTGCGTATTTCCCCGGGGGGCGATGGTCAGTATTCACTAATTCAGTGTTCGTGGCGACTTTGTAGACCATAACTGCCTCGAATAATGAGAATGACCATGTACTAGCGTGTCTGGTGGTGATCCAGGCTATGAAGAAAAACAAAACCGACTGAGGGCCTAGGGAGTGACAGGGGGTGGGGGTCTGCTTTGGACAGAGGATCTGGATCGCGGGTGGATTCTCTGAAGATGTTTGCACAGGTCCCTGAAGGAAGCGAGGCCACAGCCCTGGGTCTCTGGGGAGGAATAATCCACTATTTCCTCAAGTCTCCGCCTGTCGTCTTGTTTCCCACCTCTGTCCCCTCACCTACTCCTCTCCTAAGGCCTTTGGAGCATCCAGGCCCCCTTCTTCCCAGTGCCTGTCTTTTCCCCTTGTTTCCACTCTCCTAGTTTCTCAGCTCCTTTTCTTCTTTTTGTTTTGTGTGTGTGAGGAAGACTGGCCCTGGGCTAACATCCGTGCCCATCCTCCTCTACTTTATATGGGACGCCGCCACAGCATGGCTTGACAAGCGGTGCGTCCGTGCGCGCCCGGGATCCAAACCTGCGAACCCCGGGCCACCCCAGCAGAGCGCGCGCACTTAATTGCTAAGCCACTGGGCCGGCTCCTGCTTTTCTTCTGAATGTTGATTTTTCTGTGCCCCACTCCCCACACGCCTCAAATTCTTTCTATTTATTTAACAAACACGTTATGGTACTGAGTGTCCAGCACAAATATTGACCCAAGAAATTTCTAAGCCCAAGAACAAAGTGTTATCCCCCTTCTGTAGACCAGCAAACAGGCACAGAGAGGCAGAGTGACTTGCCCAAGGCCACACAGCCGGGGAGCGGCGGGGCTGAGGTGTGAACCCAGGACTTCTGGCCCCGAGACTGTCTCTTTATTAACCGCTCTGCAGCCTCCCGTCCTTGCAAGATCCCTGACCCTCTTGTCTGCCCCCCGCCACGCGGCGTCCCCCTCCCCCCACCCCGGTTTCTCCCCCACATCCCCCTGTTCACCTGGCTCTCTCATTCTCTCTGCTCTCTCTCCCACGCCCTTAGACCCGCCCCCGCAGTCGCCCGAGGAGACCTCCACCCAGGGCTTCCGGCAGCTGCTGGAACTGAACCTGCTGGGCACATACACCTTGACCAAGGTGAGCGCAGGCGGCCTCCTGGCAGGGAGACTGTCAGATCTACTTTATCTGAGAGCAAAATGTTTTCTGTGCCTTGGTTGGTCTTATTCCAAAAGGACTCCATTCTTTGCAGAAAAGAAACAGTGCAAATCCCTCCATCCAGCAAAAGCTACTTTGTAGTAACTCCATAGCCCAGCCTGCTTAGGAACCTTCCAGGACCTTCCAGAGTGGTGTGGTGGTGGTAGTGGGGGATGTTAAGAACGTGAGGGAGGAGCCACCCTGGTATTGTAGTGGTTAAGTTCACACGCTCCACTTAAGAGGCCCCAGGTTCATGGGTTCGAATCCCGGGCACGGGCCTACTCACTGCTCATCAAGCCGTGCTGTGGCAGCGTCCCAAATATAAAATAGAGGAAGATGGGCAGATGTTAGCTCAGGGACAATCTTCCTTAGCAAAAAGAGGAGGATTGGCAGCAGATGTTAGCTCAGGGCTAATCTTCCTCACCAAAAAAAAAAAAAAAAAAAGGAAAGAAAAGAAAACAAAATAGGAGGAGGGACTGAGACAGGGAGTTTCAGCTTTGCCACCCAATGAATAGCTCTTAGGATCAAAGAGCATCTCCCTCCACCTCTCTGCCCTTCCTCCGAATCTTCCCATACCTGCCAGCTACATATCATGTTGGTTCAAATGTCACCTCTTCAGAAACGCCTTTCCCAACCACCCTTGCTCAGATATATTCATTCTCTAGAACAGCTTGTTTATTTCATCATAGCACTTTTTATTCACTTCATTCACTCAGCATATATTGATTGAGTGCCAGCAATGTGCTAAGCACTGGGCACCCAGCCGGGGACACAACAGACAACATTCCTGCCCTTGGGGAGCTGACCTCCAAGTGGGAGAAACAGACAGACAGACAATGAGCCGGTAAATATTGATGGTCCGATCAGGGAGTGATAAGTGCTGTGCAAAAAAGTGAAGGAAAGGTGGGTGGGTGTAAATGCTGTTTTATGAAACTTTATTACGGAATTTTGCAAGCATACCCGAAAGCAGAGGGAATCGTACTGAACCCCATGCGCCCATCACCCAGTGCCGATAATGATCAACGTTCTACCATTCTGGCCTCTTGTAGACTGCTCACTTTTTTTCTTTCTTTCTTTTCGCTGGAGTATTTTAAAGCAAATCCCAGACATCATATTTCACCTGTAAATAATTCAGTATGCATCTTTACCAGATGAGAGTTTTTTGAAAAAGTATGTTTGTGTGCGCTTTTAGACAGGGTAGCGTGGTCAGAAGGCTTCCCTGAGAGGTGACATTTGAGTCAGACCCCAAGGAGGTGTGTGGGAAAGAGCAGTCCAGTGGAGGGACAGCCAGTGCAAAGGCCCTGGGGTGGCTGGGACTGCTGGGAGGGTAGGAGGAGCAGCGAGGAGGGCAGTGTGACTGAAGCAGCGTGAGCGAGGGGGAGGGGGCTGGAGGCAAGGGCAGAAAGGGTGCAAAGGGGTCTAGATTATCTAGGCCTTGTAAACCACGGAGAAGACTTTGCTGTGACCCTGATTGAGCCGGAAGCCCACTTAAGTCTTCGGAGCCGAGGGCTGGATGTGAGCTGCTGTAAGTGGGAACTGGTGCCCTCTGGCAGCCGCCTGGGGAACAGCCTGGGGGCGAGGGCTGATGCAGCGGGCCCAGTGGGGAGGTGGCCGGATGGTCCAGGCGATGGTCCAGGCGGGAGGTGATGTCACATCCCACCAGGCTGGTGGCTGTGGATTTGGGGAGCAGTGGTTCCGATTTTGGATCCGTTTTGAAGGTAGAATTGTCAAGATTTCCTTAAGAGACTAGATAAGGGGGTGGACTCGAGAAAGAAAGGAATGGGGTTTTTTGGTTAATTTGTTTCCCCCTTTCCTACCCCCAGCAACTGGCAGGCAGACTTGCCATCCTCTGCGGCGGGGAAGCCTAGGGAGGAGCAGGTGGAGTGGGGGACCTGTTGAGTGGGAGATGCCCGGTACACATCCACATGGGATTCCTGGGTCTGGGGAGGGGGCGAGGCCTGGAGACATCAGTTTGAGGCTGGAGGAGCTCAGAAGAGCGAGTATAGACAGGGGTCCAAGGAGTGGGCCAGGGGGCCACTGTCTGTCTTTGAGGGCCCATCTGAGATCCAAGCAAAATGTCCCGGGGCGATTGGGTAATCCCTTGCTCGACCAGTAGACTCACTCCTGTGCCCAATTTCTGGGTGCCTTCTAAGACTGGCACCTTCATACAAAAAGACACACATACACCACAGCCCATAAAGGATATTTCTCTCTCTCCTTAGTAGCCAGCGTTTAAGAAGAAAGAGATGTCTCATAAACAACCAGATTTCTGGTTTCTCTTGAAAAGTTGGCAAGCTGGACTCACAGAGCAGGGTGACAGTCTCCATTGTGCCCCAGTCCCCACCCCTCCCTATTGGACTACCTGACTCTGTTACTTGTGTGGCTAGTCCCGAAGCCTCACGTGGGAATAATGGTCTCGATCTGGGACTCACTTGCCTAAGTTCTCTGCTGCTTCCTACGTGCAACACTGGGCAAGTTATTCAATCTCTTTGCAACTCAGTTTTCTCATCTAAAAAATGGCGCTGATAATAGTACCTAGTTCACAGGGTTGTTCTAAGAGTTGAATGAGTTTAAATTAAATACTCACAAAGCCCTTAGAACAGACCTGGCACAGAGTTTACTATTTGCAAGTTATTATTGTTTATCATGAACCTCGCCCCGTTCTGATTTTTTGTGGCCAATTCACCTCACTCGGTTCAAGGTCTATGAGATACAGGTTGGGCAAGTGAAGCTTGGGAGAAGTAGAAGGGAAAAGTTGGAACTTGAGCTGAACTCTGAGTGGGAGGGAAAGAAGTGGAGAAATAGGGCACAGGGTGTATCACTCACCAAGAAAAGAGTGTGCAAAGGCCCTGGGGCAGAAACTAGCTGGGTGTATTTAAGAACAAGAGGCTCCCCATCTCCAACTCCAGCTTAGCAATTATAAGCATTTTGTTAAACGTGTTCTATCAACTGCCTCCTGCCATTCCCTACCCAGACATGCTATGATTTCATCAGCAAGAACTTCAGAAATACTGCCAATGGATTAGAATGGTTATTTATTTTTATTTTGACATAATTTCAGACTTACAAAATAATGCCAGAATTGCACAGAGAGTTCCCACACACCCAGACTGCCCAATGTTAATATTTTACCATATTCGCTTCATTTTTCTCTCTCTATTTGAGAGTAATTTGCAGGTGTGATGTCCATTTACCCCTCAGCACTTTGGAGTGTATTTCCTAAAAACAGGAATATTCTCTTACATGATCACAGCAAGAGTAACATTGATACCATGGTCTTCGCTAATCTAGAGACCTTCTTCAGATTATTGGAATTCTTAACATCATCACAGTACCAGGGGCACACCTGTGTTAGTTGGGGTTCCTCCAAGAGCAGACCCTAGATGGGGATTGGGGTGCAGAGTGTGTGGGAGGCAATCCCAGGAGGCGCTGCCCTCAGGTGGGGCGTAGTTGTGGGCGCACAAGGCAGCTGGTGAAGGGCGTCAATGGGCAAGTTATTGCTGGAGTAAGTGGGGCGCCATCCCCTGGGGGTCAGCGAGAAACAGGCACCTCACAGTTACCCCCACCCGAGCCGCAAGGGAGTGCAAAACATTGCTTTAACTTAAAAATAAATTTAACCTAATGTTAATAATTTAAAAAAATAGAGTAGTGTGATAAATGGCCCTATATCCATCATTTGTATTTAACAATTATTCACATTTTGCTATGTCATATATATATATGCACATATACACATAAATATATATATATATTTGCCAATGTATTATAAAGTATATTGGGCTGGCCCCATGGCTTAGCGGTTAAGTGTGCGCTCCCGTGCTGGCGGCCCGGGTTTGGATCCTGGGCATGCACCGACACACTGCTTCTCCAGCCATGCTGAGGCCATGTCCCAGGTACAGCAACTAGAAGGATGGACAACTAAGACATACAACTATCTACTGGGGCTTTGGGGGAAAAAATAAATAAATAAAATTATAAAAAAAAATAAAGTATATTATGATAGCATGATAGTTCATTTCCAAATACTTTAGTAAGCATCTCCTAAAAATTAAGACTTTTTTTCCATAAGCAGACTGACATTAGATCTCCTAATAAAATTAACAGTAATTTCTTATTACCATTTAATACCCGAGCCCTATTTAAACTCACCCAGTTGTTCCCAAATGTCTTATTAGAGTAGGTTTGTTCACACCAGGCTCCAGTGTGAGGTCCGCTCACTGCATTTGGTTTTCCAGAGGGCAAAGATGTTTGCTTGTTCATGCCTCTATCCCAGCACCTAAAACTGTGCCTATTGCAAAGAAATCTGTCAATATGAGTAAGTGGCTGCCATTATCACCACGATCATCACTTCATTACCATGATTATAATCATCAGCATCATCACCATCATCATCATCATTGCCGTCACCACCATCATCACCATCAGCATCATCATTACCTTCATCACCATCAACATCATCATCACCATCATTATTACCATCATCACCATCACCGTCATCACCATTACTGTCGTCATTGCCTTCATCACCATCACCACCATCATCACCATCACCATCATCATCACCATTACCATCATCATCACCATTACTATCACCATCACCTTCATCACCATCAACATCATCACCATCATTACCATCATCATCACCACCATCATCACCATCACCATCATCACCATTACCGTCATCATTGCCTTCATCACCATCACCACCATCATCATCATCACCATCATCATCACCATTACCATCATCATTACCTTCATCACCATCAACATCATCATCACCGTCATTATTACCATCATCATCACCACCATCACCACCATCATCATTATGATCAGCATCAGCATCACCATCACCATCATCATCACCTTCATCACCATCATCATCACCACCATCATAATCACCTTCATCACCACCATCGTCCCATCAACATCTACACCATCATCAT